GGCTATTGATCAAAAAATGACCCCTGAAGATTTTTAAAGTTTTGGACTTGGGACATCTTGAAACGTCAAGAAATACAAAAAAAATCAGGTTTTTTTCTATATGTATGGATGTTAGTGTATGAGGGGATGATGATTTTGTTCACCATGTTTGAAGTTTAATAACTCCTGTGCTTTTTGTCAAAAATTTCTGAAATTTTGCAGGGAGATGAGTTTACTAAGGGACTGATGCTATTAAATTTTGATGATTAATTAAAAATCAAAGGGGTGAGGAGATAAGGGGAGTTGTGTATATCTCCAATAGGGTTGGACTTAATGACGATTTTACTCATTATTAGAATTTACAATTTTTTATAAAACCCATCCCTAGCCTCAAAATTAAGCTTTTTATCATTTTATAATGATTAAAAATATAAAAAGCCTTTTTAATAAAATATCATAACAGATGACAGCACCAAATGCTGCCAGAAAAGTTAAGCAAACTCATTGCTAGATTTTTTTTCAAATGTAACTAAAATCAAAACATTTTAAATTTTCACATTTGTAGTTCATATCTTTATTGGTTTTTATAAAAGTTATAGTTGACAAAACTCAGACAGTGATTTCTTTAATCTTATTTTATATTAGGAAATGATTACAACAAAATGACCAAGTTTTGCTAAATACCACAATTTGAACAAGCAATCAATCACACTACCTATCTATCTGTACAGAATATGGTAAGGGAAATCTATTTCCAATTTGTTAAGATACCTGTGTACAAATTACATTTTATATATTGTTTTAAAGCACATTTGATGTAGGTAAGCCTGTTACTTACCTACATCAAATAAACTACATCACATTTTGCTTTTTAATATCATTTAAATAATTAGAAGTAAAAATGTGTCCACTTTAACACTTTTCATAGTGGCAGCATCCCTGGCATTCAGGCTATGGTGTATAAAATGCTTCTAAAAATAACTTTGAGTTGACATTTGTTAAATTATGGCAATGATCTGCATAGGGGATGCCTTCCGGGAGGTCTTTTTAAGGGAAACTGGCCCTTATTTAGGTGTTACAGACATGGAGAAAACCTGGAAAACTCCACATGGCCAGCCCGTCTGAGTGTGGTATGAATGTATAAATCCATGACTGAACTCTCAGTCTTCAGGGTACGAAGACTGTTTGGCCACTGATGGGCCTGAGTTAACATTTGCTTAGTCATTCCCAATTACTTTTTACTGTTTTGATTTGTTTTAAAATTTTATGTTAATAATGAAAGAGTATTCTAAATCAAACTTTGGTTGGGATGATTGGCATCATTTCTTTTGAATAAAATGGTACCTAAGTGAAAAAGAACTCTTACACCAGGAACACATACAATATTTTTTTGTGCAGAATTATTTTGGTAAGAAACATGATAATAAATTGGATGAAATGAGAATGAACACAGAGCTGCCACATGGAGAAATTTTGGTGCTGAATCCATTTCCAAATGAAGCACACAAACTAGCCCAGTCCTCTAATTTCACACAATAAATATCTATCTGTGTGCACTGGTACAGAATTCTTTATTTATATTTTATGCAAAAAAATATCCATCTGTGTGAAAAAACTGCATTCAATTAAATGTTATTGACCTGGGTCTTCAGTTCTACATGCAAATCAACTACAAAGGTATTTTCATGGTTATTCAAACTTTTTCAGGGAAACAAAGATCACATTACATATGGACATACAGACATTATTACTGTATTAGTCTTTGTTAAAATTAACCAGGATCTTAATGAAATCTCTATCTAAACAGAATGTGCAAAAGTGAAATCTATTTCCTATTCATTGAAGTACTAATGTTGTATATCAAGAAATTTTATAAGTTCTATGTAAATAAATTTATTTTCTTTTTTTAACATTCCTATTATTTGTAACTTAATTATTTACAGAAAATATTTTGCTGAACAAAACTAGTATCCAAATAATTTTAAATAATACATACAGTAATAAATAATTTAGGCATTTTTTCAACTTTAAAAACTTCAAATCCACAGAGATATATTTAGACGTTTTTCTCAATTATACTATACATTTTTAACAATTAATTATGGATAATATTTATTAGAAAATAATTGAATTAAATAATGCACAAGGCCATAAAGAATTAGCACTTAATCTAATGTATTGTGCTAAATATTTGCTTCTGTCTGTAAGCCACTTTCCATTCCAATCACATTTCAATGTCAAGTCTTAGACATAACATAGCATAGACACAATGATAAATTTTGGACATTGATGTAATATCACACATTTGGTGTAATATCACGCAATCACAGATTTAATTGGTTGGACAGTCAACTTCTACATATTAAATTTATCAGGCATTGTAACTTTAAGTGAACATGAGCAATTGGCTAGGGACACCAGCCTTAATCAAACACAGAAAATATACATCATTAATTAGTGTTAATTAATAAAAAAATTTTTTAAATGTTTACATTATTTTATAAATATCCACTTGTGTGTGCTTGTATGAGTATGATAATATACATGTAGCATTTGCACCCACAACCCCCAGGTCACCATACCTGGTTACTTACCAATGGAAGACAATGAACAATACCAAGAAAAACCATCTGGCACAAGAGATCAGTGTACCAAGAAGAAGAAAGAGTAGTCATTGGCTGCATTCAGAAGATTCAATAGTTTAACCAAGCAAAGATGTTTCACTCGGTAGCTGTTAGACACTAATAAATGGATGTCAAACACCAAACATATTCTGAAACAGCACCAAAATCCTTGAATCTGCCAAACACAGCCATTGTTATTTAATAAAAACAGAAAAGGATGACAAAAGAGGACACTTTTACAGTTTGTCCACCAAAAATTTCATTTGTAAATTTTTTTTAAAGTTCATACTTATGTCCTGGCTAAAAAAACTTTTTATTAAATGTATTATTTTTATAAACATATATGCTGCCACCAGAGGGAATATTTTAACATTTTGCACATTGATTCAGACAAGTAGCCTCCAAATATAGGTCATCTCCATTGTGAAATTTTATTTCCCGATGGTGTTCAAATGAACAACGAAAGAGGACACTTTTACAGTTCATCCACCAAAAATTTCATTTGTAAATTTTTTAAAGCAGCCATTGTCAGCATACAAAGAGTTCTGTACTGTACATACAGACCGAGCGGCAAACAGCATTCAAAGCAGTTTAATAAACCCTTTGTTCAGTTACCTTGGCATTGTTTGTTGACAAGACTATGTCATGTTTATAAAATCGTACTGCCTGATTTTCTTACCAGCATAGAGGTATGAAGGAGTACATGTAGAGAGTTGATATTTGGCACAGAGTATTAGGTGCCCAAATCATTTGCACAAAAAAATCCAGACTCGTAGGTAGTCGGGGGACCAAAAATCGAATCAAAATAAAATACAAAATGGCGACCCTCTTCTACAAACAGGCAAAACAGCCACCTCACCCCACCGAAATCGGGTAGGGGAGAGTACCACCCACAGTCATTCTAAGATATGAACTCTGACCTTAGGATTGAACACGTAGTTTCTTCTATGTTAAATAAAATTTGTAATCTAATTTTGTAAATTTGGGGGTGCTTCAAATATGACGTTAAAACGGTTTCATGTCATTACAAGTAGGTTTTTTAACATTATCTAGTATAGTAAAATTGTGGAACTGATAAAAATCTGACGTTATATTAGGGTTGTCATTACATTCAATGACATTATAATCGGGTTAAACTGTGTATTGTTTGCACAAAATAAAAAAATAATTTTAGGCGATACAATAGCCACGATTATTTTTTTCAAAAATGGGAACTTTTCATTACGCATCGACAAAAATTCAATCCGGGCCGACACGCAACAGAGAGAAATTTTGAAATTAGGTAGGTTAATTTCATTGAAGATGCATCGTGGATGATCTCGTGGTCGTGGCAAGCGAAGTTTGGATGATCGCGCCCAAAAGCAGCAATATCAAAGAAGATAGGAGAATGAGAACAAGACCTGCCTTGAGCATCAAAGTGATTCCGTCTCCAAGAAAGTCTTGCCCCAAATACGGTTTTACTGTTTTACTTGATTTATCTGCACTACCTACATCACCAGTGATAAAAATTCCAAGACAACCACAATATGTTATATAATGTATAAGAAAATTAAATTTTCTCAGCACTTTTCAGTTTAACAGGACACCAACTGATATGTACAGAAATGTGAGATTCAAGCTCTGAATGAGAGGTTTCACACACCCCCAGGATGTGAAACCCTTTATTCAGAGCTTGTTCGTTATAACTTGTCAGAACAATTTTTTACCACATATCAATCCACTTCCTTTTCTGCATGCTTCGCATGTAGACTTGCACCTCAGTGCTCACACCTCAGCACACAGGTCAGGCAAGCCCCCACACCACCTAAAATTATATATCTTCAAGTACTCCATGAAAACTTGGCTACTCAAAGCTGGCAAAGTCACATGGGCTAAATTGTCAAACCTGATAGTCTTTCGCAATAGTCTTTTGGCATTCCGTTAACCACAAAGAACCATTTTCTTTGCTTAGGAATGTCAAATATTGTTGTATAGGCTCTGTAAATTTAATGTTACGCTGTTACCAATGGCAAAAATCTCCGATTTTAAGTGAAGAGTGAACAGGAAAAAAGTTCAATCACCGGAAACTCAGACAAAACTGATAATTCGTAAAAATGTCTACTGGCAATAATTTTTACCCCCCCCAAATGAGATGTGTCCGCATAAATGAAGACGTGACGTAACGAAAACATTTCCAACGGATAAAATTTGAATATTTGACGTATGGTAACAGCAGCGACACCAAGCGATCACGTAGAACATTACACGTATAACCATCCAAAAAAAAAATACATCAAACAAGTTTTTCTTAAAACACAACCAACTAAACACATATTATGCGTTAATCTATTCACAAAAACACGAAAGATTACGTAATTAAATTCATAATCGACTTGAAAACTGAGAAAAGTATCTCACCGTAACTACGACTTTCGTTTTCGTTGGAACTGTACGATGCAAAAGAATTTTCACAAATGCCATTGCAATCCTTCATTGACACTTCAATATTGCCGATTGCATTCATTCTGATAAATAATTACAATATTCCATCCTAATGACAAGTAAAATTACGTAGAAAACTTCAAAAAGATATTATTTTCTTCATCATTGCAAAGGAAAACTCGTTTCAAGTGTTGCCAGTCTGATATACTTCTTTGTGTGAAATATTCTTAATCAAAAGATAAACGATTTTAGCGTAAGTCTTAAGTGTATTTTTAAATATTTTAAACTACAAATAATAATAAAAATATTGTTGTTCTTTATTTGTATTTTTTCTTTAACTCTTTCCGTCCTGAGGGTACTAACTTGTAAGAGGGCCTTTTTTAGAAAATCCATTATGGTTCGGCCACGCCGTGAATGGGGTGGCCGGGTGGTGAAGGACTGGACCCGACATATCCAAGCGGAACACTCCCCAAAAATTTCCTCGGGATTTTTCGACCCGTCTGGATTCGATCCCGGGTCCCCAGAGCGATAGGTTGCCACCTTAATCGATCGACCATCCGGCCGTTTGATCATTTGTATTAAAACTTTCCATCTTTCTGATTTTCACTCTTTTTGCTATGTATTACCTACAAGATGGAAAGAATGAAAAGAAAGTGGCAATAATAAAAACTTTTATTCAGTGGCGTACCGTGGGTGTCAGCCGCCGGGGGTAGAGGAAAATTTAGGTATTTCAATTTAAAAGAGCAAAATTCAGTTTTGTCACAGAAGAAGCAATGAAAATTTCGGTGGTAGTGCAGCGACCTGTTTAAAACAGTTCTATTGAATATTAGTGGTGTACATGAACGCGAATGAATCGTACAAGCAAAAATAAAAAAAAAAAAAAATCAACAGGTTTCGCAGGAACTCCTCGGATGAAAAAGTTACTAGTTCACCCGGCGAGCCGATTTCCGGACTGTCCGGACGATAGCACTATCGTAGGCGCGATGCAAGTATAGATTAGGATGTTTCAAAATTTTACAAGATATTATTATTATTTATTGTGAAATTTTGCCGCCCCCTAAAAGGTGTCGCCCGGGGCGGACCGCCCCTACCGCCCTCCCTACGGTACGCCACTGCTTTTATTCAAGTCATAGATTCGACCGGGTCCACAATGAATAATAAAGAACTACAGTCGACCCCTCTATAACACGGTAAATACGTTCCGTTCTTTATGAATCCATTTTGTACGAGTCCTTGCCAATCACAGCCCGGCACGTATGCACTTTACNAAGGTTCATATCTAGAGGTATGGTTTCTTTGACTTTTTTGCTGCTACGGACACGCTGTATAGCTCTGTTAAGTTCCAGCAGTGTTATTCACATCTGCAATTGTTCCCACCAAAGCACCCATGTGGGGCAAGCCCCCATGTGGCAGCACCCATATGCTATACAAAAGGTAGGGCATAAGCTATAAAAAAGGCATCATACTTATTCAAAAGGCATCAGACTATGATTTAATGTCAGATCATCACACTAGACAGGTGGCACTGGTTGCAATCAGGGCTAACTTGGCCTTGAAAACAAGGAACATTCCTTATTTTCAAGGCCAAGTTTTGGTCAACGTGAAACAAAATTGAGTGGAACAATGAAATTGATGAACGATATTTGTCCTTTTTTGTTTTCTGTATAGGCTAGAAGTCTTGAATTTTCTGTTGTTTGTTGATAATGGAAATTGTGCTCCACTTGGGAAGTAGGAAAAAACAACATAGATCAATCTTGTCGCGACGACGTTTTACGAGTCTCTTTATACGAATACTGCCGCAATTTTTTCGCTACGTTATAGGAATTTCCGTTATAGGAACCCACGTTATAGGGGGTCGACTGTACAAATGTATTCTGACAATTCATGAGTTAATTACGCTTTCTATTTGCAAAATTTCCTCAACCTTAACACAAAATAAGAAATAAAAAGTGAATTTTTAAGAAATTTGCGGGATTTCCCGGGATCCCATTTGATAAACCCTAGTGGCAGCCTACCATCTGGGTACCATTTCTCGACCCGTTCGGATTCGATCCCGCATCCCCCGGAAGGATAGCTTGCCACTTTTCCGGGGAATCCGTCCTGTGCTCACAAGGCGGGAAAAAAGTACTTTCTTTACATATATAAAAAAATAATTACAGCATACATGATAACATGAACAACCCAGGATATTTTCAATTAAAAATTGAATTATGACTATTTACAAAAAATTTTCTAATTTTTCGAGTCTATCTTTCATCCTTTTAACACACCACAGAAGCAACAGTATATTGGCTTGGATGAACTTCCACAGAACACGTGATAAATTATAACGAAACACACACAAAGTTAAAAACGATCGAAACGCCGACCTTTTATTTGAGGATTCGGCGTTTTTTAACATTAAAACAATGGTTACCATTTCTGACCATAACTACCATGTTCTTTAGCACAATATATAACTGGTTCAGGCCTCCTGGTGGTGATTTTGGGTAATCATAAAGTTCATTTGCATAACAGCATACATGATAACATGAACAACCCAGGATATTTTCAATTAAAAATTGAATTATGACTATTTACAAAAAATTTTCTAATTTTTCGAGTCTATCTTTCATCCTTTTAACACACCACAGAAGCAACAGTATATTGGCTTGGATGAACTTCCACAGAACACGTGATAAATTATAACGAAAAACACACAAAGTTAAAAATGATCACACAAAGTTATATATTGTGCTAAAGAACATGGTAGTTATGGTCAGAAATTGTAACCATTGTTTTAATGTTAAAGGACGCCGAATCCTCAAATAAAAGGTCGGCGTTTCGATCATTTTTAACTTTGTGTTTTTTTCGTTATAATTTATCACGTGTTCTGTGGAAGTTCATCCAAGCCAATATACTGTTGCTTCTGTGGTGTGTTAAAAGGATGAAAGATAGACTCGAAAAATTAGAAAATTTTTTGTAAATAGTCATAATCCAATTTTTAATTGAAAATATCCTGGGTTGTTCATGTTATCATGTATGCTGTTATGCAAATGAACTTTATGATTACCCAAAATCACCACCAGGAGGCCTGAACCAGTTATATATTGTGCTAAAGAACATGGTAGTTATGGTCAGAAATGGTAACCAT